ATATATATATATATATATATATATATATATATATATATATATATATATATATATATATATATATATATATATATAAATAAACTGATTCATGTTGTTATTCTTACCAAAAAGTAACAAAGAATAGTTTTAAAAATCCGGTTGCGGTAATGCTTGGTAAGGTCCATCATGTACAGAATCTGGCTGCCAAGAACATGTCTAGTGCCCTCAAGAGCATTCAAGACATTGAATTACTGAAATACAGTGGCATGCCTTTACATGCTGCCACTTCACTGCTAAGTCACAGTAGGAGGGAAGGAGGGACAACAAAAAAAATAAAATGGCTCAAGTTTGTTGGTCCAGTTTCTGTACTGGCCTTGGTTCAGGGAGATGTGAAGTGATTTTAAATAGTACGGAACAGCACTGCAGCCCTCTGAGTTCCAATATGTGCACACATGGTATCTTATGCCCAGTTTCTACAACTGCTTATGCTGCTATATTTATGCCAGCATGAAAGACAGAGGTGGTACTGTGGATGTTTCATCAAACAAGCACTTCAGTTTTTTGCAGACTTCCCAGCATAGTATATTTGAGATGCTTGGAAGAGATTACAAATATTGGTAACTAAATGAAGTTAATTTCACTCTCTGCATATAGTAAAGAGTGAATGGGTGTGGGGCGAGGGGGTGGGCAGGACTTATGGTGAGTGAGCCTTTTTGGGAAAGTGGAATTTGAAAGGTTTATTTTCTAGATAAGCAGCTTTCTTCATGACAGTGATTAGATTTTTTCTTACTGTGTGAAAGAGCACATTCTCTTCTTTATTGATCAACTCTAGAACAATCGAAGACTTGTTATGTGCTATATTTCCAATGTCATTCCACCTGTAGAGTAAAAAAATGCAGTAGAGTTTGCCAACACATACATTCAAACATTTCACAAACACATTAAGAATCCCTTAGTCAACATGAGTCTTGTTTTATGTGAAAGCTTTTCAGTAGCTGTTTGGTGAAAAAATATGGTCAGGAAAATAAGGAAGTTATGCTCTGATTAAAGAAGAAACAGATATTCAGCTCTTAACCCAAAACAGCAGAGTTAAAAGCTCTCTAAAAACAGCAATTTGAAGACTCGTAATAGAAGATACATTGAAAATACATTAATGATAAACATTTTACTGAATTGTGGCAAGTTTGAACTGAAATTTTAGCCATGATATAGAAATTAAAAAAAAATTTTTAGTAGTGCCATTCCTCTCCAAATGCTGGTTCCAACTTTACTCCAGAGACGATTCTTTCCTAAAGAAGGTTGACAACATTGTTATGTAGTCAATGCATACCATGTTAATACTCTGGTTTTATGTTTGCCATCTTTTTTTTTTTTTTTTTTTTTCCCCACCAAGTAATTGTCAGGTTACCCAAGATCAGAGTTATAATCTTCTTACAAATAGCTGACAGACATTTGCGTACATTGCATGCAATCCATGAGGATGGAAAGGACTTGTTTGTTCTGTTTGCAGCATGCATTCCTCTTCATGTCATGGCAGGATGCTTGAAGTGCATATTTCCAAACAGTAAGTATCCCAGCACCAACTATCATTTCTACATGTAAAGAAACTTCTTGCTTTTGTCATCTGGTGCAGTTAAAGCATTATCTAATTCCTTCTCAACATTAAATATGCAAAACATCAGCTATATGGAAAAGGGAGCTCTAACGTTTTTGAAGATGACCACTGAAAGCCCTTTTAAGGCAAAAACCCCCAACATTCCAGCTGATACAAGTCTTAGCTACTGACTAAAAATTAGTGCACCTCATAAACCACAATTTTTTGGCTGCACAAATGTTCATATTCTAATAACAGGGACTAGTAAAAATCCACTTCAGGTTAACACTAACATTAACAAAAATACCCACCAGAACAGCAGCAAAGAAGAATGAGTAAAACCCTAGCCTTCCTAGAGATGGAGATTTCTAGCAACATTTTCATACAGGACAAACTTTTGTAACAAAACCCATGAAAGAAAGTTAATGGAAAGGCTTAAGTGATTCTTAATAACCAAAATAAACAAACAGAACAACAAACAAGTGACACAGCCAGGAGTGTCAAAATTACAGAATGAGAAAATTCAGCTTTCTTTAGTGGGGCACCTAAACATGGCAACCAGATTTTCAGAAACGTTGAGCGTCTAGGCTGTCAACTGTGGGGTTTAATATGTGCATTCAGAAGCATCAGAGAAGCAGACATAAAGGCAAGAAAAGGGATCAAAGCCTTGTAGCAGAACAAGATACATGACAGACAGCTACGTCTTTCTTGCCATCAAACCCATTCATGGTCATCAGAAAATATTCTTTATCACAAGCCAAGAGGCCAATCCTGAAAACTGGAAGGTGACTACTACTTTGTTAGATCAGCACTGTTGAAGTCACATATGTAGGGAAAAAAACCCCACACATGGAGTTCTGAAAAGAGACTCGCTTTAAGTACAGAAGACCCTAGTATTTACCTATAAATCACAGTTGTCCTTCCAATTCTGTTTTTTATGAAGATTCCCATGAAAAAAATTCCGAGGTGTATGTCATTTCCATGATTATCCTGCAGATAAAGGAACACGTATTTACTTTATTAAAGAAAAGTGTCCGATACATGTATATGAATGCATGCTGAACTACCAAACAGAAGCCCTTCCTCAGGATGAACGCAGGACTAACCCTTGACTAACCTGTATCTTGCTGCTTGATTGGACTCCAATTTTCATTATTCCAAAGCTGTTAACCCATAATTGGATTCATTCTGTTGATTAGTGGGAACAGATGAAGGCTAAACAAGCCCGAAGTTCTCCTCTATCAAACAAACACGCACACCACAAACTGCATAATACCCCACATTCCCTGTCATTGTGATATAGTTATCTAGAGCCCGTATAACTACCAAAAGCAACAGTCCTCTTTCACACTCAGTATTCCTCCAGCCATCTGTTAAAACACAGAGATTTCAGAAAACCACACCTGGAGATGGAATCCCTCAAAAGCTATACCTTTCATGATTCCTCCTTCCAGTACTCCGTGTAGAAGTTCACAGCACGTCACCCTAAAAAGTACTTGTATCTCTATGTAGATACATTCTCCATTGTTTTTCAATTATTGGGTTAAGTATTCATCTGCATGCCCCACACATCCAGTGTTTTTACACTGTTTGTCATAAGTTCTACTGGTTTTGTGCCTACCCATGTGTCCTTCTGGGCTCCTGTTTGAAAACCGTGTCTCCTGTTTCATTTTGCAATCAACTATTTTCTTAAAAATAATTTTTCTCTTCTGCTACAAAACCTTAATGTTATTGACAAAGAGGTTTTTCTACATTTATCAATAAAAACAACTCCCCCTCAAATGCATATATAGTAATTGATTCACACTTTGAAGTGGTAAATAAAAAAGATGCTAGCACAAAGAATGAGGTTAAAAAGAATTGCTAGAAGAAAGGATACGAGATAAGTTAATGCACTATGTGTGAGCAAATTCTACAAACCATCAGGTGTCCTTGCATTTTAATAGATCAGATTAGAGCTGTTCTCATGGCCTTGCTGTACTTGATCCCCAAAAGGGAACAATGGAGTATCTGCACCTGTTTCTAACTAGTAAGTGTTAGGCCTTTTACAAACAAATGATGGATGCCAATTTTCAAGCCCCAATCTATGCACTGCTTCTCAGTGCTGCTATATGCCAGCATTCTTCCACATATACTACAAGTCAGCAGAGGTCCTACAGCTGACACTCTTCAATTTACTCTGATTAGAGGATTACACATTCCTGTGCCTTGTCCCAGAGGCAGCTTTAGAAGGCAAGATATTGGGAAAATATCCCAATATATATGTATATATATTATATATATATATAAAATATCCCAAAATATATGTGCATGTGTATACACACAAATATCTAAACAGAAAGAAAAACATATTTCCAATAGCATTTTCTAACAGGAACAAAAGAGAAATCTTTCCTTTTTCCCTTTGAATGCAGTTCTATTTGTCTACAGCCACTCTTCCTCAGGCAGTACTCAAAGAAAACCAAGGACCATCTCTGCTTCCAAAGTCAGCAGGCTCTAGCACAAAGCAACCTCTTCTGTGAACAGGATTTTGGTGAAAGAAAAGTAACACTACAGGTCTAAGATACCCTCATGCTGCAACATCCATTCAAACTAACAGCAGTCATTTCACCCTCCAGAACAGTCTTGCCTCTTTCAGACAAACATGACTTTCATGTGTTCCAAAGATCTCTGCAGACTTCTGCATCATTTGATTCAGTGGTTCCTTTATAACATACACTAACATACCTTCACAGGGAAAGTTTCCTGTCCAAACCCATCAAGGCGTTCCACTTCATTGATGTACATTAGCTCAGCCTCCGCTGCTGTAATGCCACTGTAATTAGAGTAACAAAAGGCAGCAAATGGTTCAATGTTATACACACACAAAAAATACCAGTGAAGAAATGGGAGGTTCACACACCACTTTAGAAGATGCTTTGGAGATGCTGCCTAGAAATGCACAACACAAAACTAACTTTCAACATTAGGATCATAATCAGCAAGGAGAAGAATTTTACTAAATGTTGCTAAGGTAGGGTACAAAGCACAGTTCAAATTACAGGAGGAACAAACTGAACTGATCATATTACTCAGTTTCTTCTGCACACATCAAATGTCTTCCAGGCTTTATTAAATCATCAGACCATTGCATCAGGTTGTGTCTAGCTTTGGATAGCGAATTTGAGCCATATAGGTCCTAATTTACATAAGTAGTATACATATCCATTGAAGTTTCTTAAAATGACTTAAAAGGAAAGACCTACATTCTCAAGTTGGCTGTTCAAAAACACAGGCACTAAATCCAAATGATGAGCAGATTCTCTTTCATAAGAGAGCTACCAGCTGAAAACTTTTATACACGTGTCTACACATGCTCCTGTCGCATAGCTCAGGAATTCAGACAGATTTCAGTTCTCAAAAGCAGGTTAGAATAGACTGCAGGTTGTTCCAAAAGAAAGCCACTATTAGTATTTCTGCTCTTTGCTCCTCCTTACCACAGCTTACAAAGAGAAATATAGGAACCATACAAATACTTGGGAGAAAGAGGGAGAGAAAGGAGGTAGACTTGATCTATCTGCTGAAGTGAGAATAAATATTCGTTCTTTGTGTTGCAGAATTATCACTAAAGAGTCTGAGTTAACCAAGAACACACAAGCAGCCCATGGCAGAGAGAGAACAGAACCAGGCCCGTTCATGGTCAACTTAGATGCTAACCCTTTGGTTGCATTAAAGGCCCAAGCTTGCATTGAAACTGAGACTGAGAATGGCCTTAGATTTGTATTCATCCCTTTACAAGCATTTTCTGCCATATAACAAGGAGTGTCGCACCCTTCACGTAATATTACTACTGCATTTCACGTAATAAAACTTTAAATGTAACAAAAAATATTATTTCCGATGAAATACAGGCACTGCCATTTTTCTGAGAACAGCACTCTAGAGGTTTGAATACTTCCACGAACAAAACACCTAGGTAACACAAAGAAGCCCTGCTTACAAAGAAGGTATGTGTACTGAGGCACTAATACATACACTCATAGCTCCTTAACTAGTATCACCATATTGTAACTTTTCCACAAGACGACTTAACACTCAACTCCTGTTATTTTCATTTCCACTACAGACCCCTTAGACCACCCTCAATCAAATCACAGGGTCTTTCATCATCAGGATTTAAATGAGACCAAGAAGAGAAGGGAGTCTACAACATAGCACAAGTACTGTTACACATGCTTATTAAATCTTATGATACAAATGCTCATTTAGTTGGGATTAAGTTCCCTGGCCATTTTGTGTTCATAAGAGGCAGATAATCTTTTGTAAAAGACTAATTAAAAAACCAGTGAGGCATAGCATAATAGTAACATGAAGATAGGCTAGTTTACCCTTGCCAGAAAAGCATGGGGAGGAAGGGAAGTACTAGGAGGATGATGACCAAAAAAAAAAAAAAAAAGAAATCCAAACCTTAATATGTCAATCTCACCTGTGAGTTCGGTGCTCCTGAGCAACCTTCTGAGTCAGCTCCTCCAAGACAGCTTCATCCTGGGTCCAATCCTGAAAGAATATGAAGTAGTGTTGAAAACTAGTCATCCAAAGAGAGAGAGGACAAAATACAAGACAGGAATTATGGTGGCAGATGTTTTGGGATTGTTTCCTGTTCACGGTCTTCCAGGTAGTTAGAGATAACATCACCAACTGCACTGAAAATTCAGAGCATGGAATGCTGAAAATGTGCAAGGAGAACATGAGCATCTGATTTTCTTTTTTACATATTTTTTTGTGGAGAGTGAAAAGATACTGTTAAAAATAGGGGTAAGGTGCTTATTATTCCAAAATAGAGAACTGAGTACAGGCATGGATAAGGGATCTTTTCCTGGATAAGGACCAAATAAGTCTTTGAAACCACTTTAATATACAGATTAATATATTCCTTTTAAAACCACCCAAAATAATGCATAGACCATGAAAAATGAAGTCATGGGTATTTTCTGTCCTGCAGACTCCCTGGCTGGTACCATGCTACCATGTTCCCTGGCTACCATACAGGTACTCCCCCATGTTAAAAGGGATTGAAAGTTTTGCTGCCTCTTCAAATATGTAATAAAATATACTTTGTGCTTGCATTTTGAGCAGAAAGTTTTATCTTTTGCAAATTTAATAATGTGTGGTGGAAACAATTCTGAAATAATAAAAGGAAGCCTGCTCATAAATTCAATGCTAAAAAAAAAAAAAAAAAAAAAAAGGAAGCTGAAAAACTTTCTTGCAAAACCTCAAAGTTCTTATTTTATTTAAAAAAGCCTTAAGGCTGCATGTAATATACTTAAATACGCTGCCTGTTTCTTGCTCAATGGGGCCCTCCCTCTGATATTTGCTTCTGCCACAAAAAAATGTGAAAGTGGTAGCGTGCTAATGAAAAATGGCATAGTACATGCCTATGCACAGCTACACACCTGTGGGGTGTACTGTGTACATAACTTTGTTCTTTTCACTGCTGAAGAAATGCCATTTGACACACATTGTAGCCTCACAAGATCAAACAGTACAAATGTTACTGCCCCTCCCTCATCCACCAGCTCATTTCACTAATGAATTTATAGCTACATTCTCTTTGGAGGCTCTTTCTATGCGGAGATTCACTCAAATCCTCCCACTTGCTTCAGGACTAGTTTATAGCTGCAGCACTTAGCAACTGCCACTGAACTTCCAGTGAAACATTTACTATTCTGTTATCCACTCCTCCCCAGAAGAGCAAAGACAATTAGTTAAAGAAACGTCCAGAGAAACAGTTGGTTTAAGAGAAGGTTTCTGAAGACTGCAAGAAGCAGACACTTCACTGATCTTCTTAAATTCAGCAGTAGTAGCATGGATGAAAAACAAGATACCCCAAAGCAAGCACATGCAAAAGAGAAGACAGCTGACCACAACACCATGTAAGCAGACCACACCATGGACACAACACCATGTAGACTCAAAATTTGAAGTTTTCATTCTAGGAGATGGGCCCAAAGAGTAAAGTGCTGAACCACATAGAAATTAACCACCTGAAAGCTCATCTAGAGGCATAAATCCTCCCCTAATAGTTTTCTGAATAGAAAAATATTATCAGGATATTGAAAGACCTTTGCAGAAGCTCAGTAATTTACAACATGACATCTTGACAGCATGTTTCTCTGTTAATATCTGCAGCCACCTTCTTTCCTACTTAAGCTACTGTACACAACTTCATGAGCTATCAACTATAGACAAGATCATCAATTACTTATCAACAGATAAAGGCAGCCTACCAAAGAAATCTCTGCTCTGCTAGTCAGGCTAACAGAAGTTTCTTAGTGAAACATCAATTACTGAAGCCACATTCTAGCTATACAAGACATTCAGATCTCTATGTATTCATAAATTCTCCTGCTTCCTGATGACGTTCTTTTTCAGGTGGTATTGAACTCTGTCTACTGGCTCAAAATCACACTTCCACTTCAAGACACTGTGTAACTGGCACTTTTCTGGACTTGAGAGTGGATATCTGCTGCCGTTCTTGTACAGAGAGTGCTGGTAAATGGGATTAAATGCTTCTGGAAGTGCCTTTATCAAGCCTTCAAATTACACCAAGATGAATCATTCTCCCTCTACCGCTCCACTAATTGCAGAGGGAAAACAGATGATTTAACTTTTAGGCAGCTACACTCAGGGCATGGGAACCCCAACCCACTTCCAAAATTTTTCCAGTTAGAAAGAATTCTGTGATCTTTTACATTTGATGAAGCTTACACTCAAGACTCATGCTGATGGACTTGTTCATCTAAGATAAAGCCAGCCTTAACCTCAGCAGGCTTTTTTTTAATCCATCTTCCCAGAGAGGCTCAATGTCATGGATTGCAAGTACTTGGCATTTGTCACCAGTTTCTAACATGACTAGTGACCTAAAGCACTTCCCTCAGCATTCAAGTTATTTGCTAGTTTCCAATGTACATTTAAAACTCCCTCAAGAACATTTTGAGAAGATCTGATTCATGCTTCACTTTGTCTGATAGTCACTTGATGGAAATTCACATTCTCTTGAGGAAAGGCTGCATGATTTGTCCTGTGACACAACATTTACAACACCAGTAGTCCTCATATCCCCTTGTTATGCCACTTTACTAATATTGCAGTAGTGCTAATACACACCTTTTTAAATAGCTGCAAATTGCTTTTTGATTCAAAGTAGTACTTTTCTTTTGTTTACACCTGTTTCTAGTGGTAGCTTAACAGGAACTGAAAAAAAAGGCTAAATTTCCATAGCATATATTCCTTCAGATGCAATCAAGTATATTGCAGGTTTTGGGGAGCAAAGTTTATTTCCCCTATTAACAGTTCAGTGCTGGTGCTTTTAGTCTTTTATCAAAAGAGCCATCCCCAAGGCATGGAGAAATTATTCATAAAAGACCACAAAAAAGGGGGATAAGGAACTCACCATGGGAAATAAGACATATTCTCGGAGGAAATCATGAGATTCAAACTGATCATAGTCTCCAAAATCCGCTGGAAAAAACAACACAATTACTCATTTTAGCACTTTCCACACATGTTAAGACCACATTCAACCTTTGCACAGATACTTAATTTCAAGTGGGCGAGCTCTCTCTGAAGCCACAACCCAAGCACAAAGATTTCTGCTTGTACTTTAGCTTTTAACGTGGAGGTCTGAAAATAATGATGTTATTACCAGAGATCAAATAACAGCCAACAAGTAATCTCTCTCTTTTGATCCCCAATATTATGACCATTTGCAATGCTTAACCATCAGGAGTACAAGAGTCTCTTTTTCTGTAGTCTTCATGAACTAGTATCACTGTCTAACAGGGCTGGGATTGCTCAAACTCTTGAAAAGAAAACTTTTGCTTCTGTGATGTTTCCAACCCTGACCAGGGAAAAAAATTTAACCTACTTCTGCTACAATTCTACACAACTGCATAAAAAATGCTTAATTGTACAGCCTAGAAGGTTAAATCCACTAGCCAATTCTATTAAAAATTGTCAACAGCAACCAGGGTGGGGAGAGGCAGGGGGAAAGGTCTTACCCTTCTGCAGCCAATGTAACAGTACAGGCATTGTGTCAGTTTAACTGACTGGTCCACACCTTTCTACTTGCTTTTCTACTTTTTACACATCTTAAAGAGAGCTACTCATCTCCATGCTCATTCACTCATATGTTGGGCTGAGGATTCTTCTCTAAATGTCCTTGAAACTGTGGAGTTTTCAAAATGCTTCCTAAAGGCTAAATTATGCTAAAAAAAAAAAAAACAACCCAAAAAACAACAAAGCCTATATTTATCTATCTGCTAAATACACAACAGCTTATATCAAAAGAATATCTTGCCAGGAGGTTTTTATTTTATATTAATTGAACTGGATCAAACGCCATCTACAAGATTCTCATATTATAGAAGTTGGAAATCCCCACCATAAATCACATTATCTAAACATTCTTTCAAAGCTTCTAGACAACTTCACATATTGCAGGATGCCAAAAATGCAGTTTCATTTTGTTTTCACCTCAGAGTTATGTTTTAACATAAACATAAAGAAATCAAAATGGACATGAAACAGAGTCTGTAAGTTTAAAAGAAATAAATATTTCAAATATCTTCAGTTACATCACATGCAAAGGCCAAAAGGAGTAATACAAGGTCAGGAATAAAGCAAACAAGATTAGGTGTAGCATTCTGATGCAATGATCTTTGAAATATAGTAGATTATGTAGAAAAATCCTAATAAAAATGATTACGTCAAACTGATTACAGAATTTGACACTGGAAAAACTTCATTTACTTAAGTTGCAAGATTCAGTATGGAATCTTATACATATGTTTTGCTCTATATCAAGATTTGACAGGAAACACGTTTTCTTCAACTTTTAAGCAAGAATGAAGATTCTAAAACAGAATTTCTACTGCCTCAAGAAAGATCCTATTAGCATTACTCTCCTTTAATTTTCAAGAATCAGAGCTTCATGTTTGCTATTTATGTATATACTTCACCCTTCCCTCTCATCAGAGGACATGCACAAGGCATGATTACTGAAACTCTACCTTAGGTTCTCACAGTCAGTCGTGGATAGACTGAAACATATGTTCTCCAAATACAGGGCTTCTTCCTCCGCCCATATACATGAAATGATCCCACTGTTATTGATGTCCTTAGGAGGCTCAGAATAAAAATCACATTGTAAGAAGTAGTTTACTTTTAATTTATAACTCACATAACAATTATGGTCATGTGTTCTTTCAAACTTCAGATAGCACTATGCAGTAAAACGAGTTTTTAATTAAAGGCAAAATTAAAGCTGCTGCTATGCTCTTTGATGTAATTGCATTTCAAACCAGAGAACGTGAAGCAAATTCATTACTGCAAAGTACTCCGTGGTTGGGGTTGGAAGAAGTGGAGTTTTGTTCAGATTAACTTACACGGATTTTAGAAATAGTAAAGCTGAACACTGTGATGTGGTCCATCATTCCCTCCCTGAGGGTGTGACTGTTTCATCAACGGCAGTCCACCTATGCACTTTTAAATCAATAGAAAACCCAGCTGTTTTGAGTAGGAGTCATACAAGGCCTTAATTAGTGCCCAGTCAACATACAGACAAACAAAAAAAGCCAACACTGGAAAAAGGCTATCGGGTCACATCATCTTACCTTGCACTGCCAAACCAGCTAGTCGAATTCCCTGCTCAAATGAAGAAAGTAATTGGCCATCAAGAACATCTTTTTTCACTTGTAGGTAATACTGATATCTACAAACAAAAAGAGCACAAATTAGAACATTTATATGTTCGTATATTTTCTACAAAACAAAAGACAGCTGAAAGCAAGAAAAACTCACCACAAATAGGTCAGGCTGTTAAACAGCCATCTGTACCTGGCTTCAGAAGTCCCACATTACCAAAACAAATCAATACAGTCCCTACATGTGAAACGCTTCCAAGTGGATGAAAAGGAAAATAAAGAGTTCTAATTTGTGTTCCCTAGACCACACAGAAGAGGGACATCTGCTAGGATTACCTCCTCCATAGAACTTGTAGAAGTTACTGAAGACCGTGCAATCACCAATACAAAAAGAAGTTGTTTCATACTATTTCTATTGGTTTTGTTCCAGTGTCACCATTTTGGCAGAACAATTTTAGCAATATACTTTGATCTACTGACATAACTTTAACATGGCCCATATGAAGGTCTTTTTAATTGGCATCTCTCATCTGTCAGGATGACTTAGACACACAAATCAAGCAAAACCAGCTTCTTAGATCATGCACTTGCTGATCTGCAGTAACTAATCACAAGACAAACTATGTTAGTTTTAACCTCAGCAACAGAATTCACACATTTCACCTTACCTTTGCAATAAAGTAGATTCAGACAAACAAAAACCTTTCGCCAAAAAGCTTAACACATTACTGTCCCCATCTGTGCATCCCTCCCATCCGCTGATCTGGACCAGACTCACACTGGAGTTGGCCAAAGCAGCAGGGATATGTACCTGTCCCTCCAGCATACCAGGTTAAAGTCCAGTGGAGATGTCTTTGTTATGCAGTTGAGTTACAGCAATACAATGATCTCATGTCCATCAGCTTACATTTTTGGTGCATATGTAACCTGTCCTAACTGAGATGAAAGAGAATTCCTTCTCGTGCAACTCCTCATCAGATCTGAGCCCACAGGCAGAGGTACTGTTCCAGTGTAGCCACAGTCCATGTGTGCACTCAGCCTCAAGTATCTAATCCGCAGACCTGCTGATAGCAACTGATGTGCCTGGGTGACCCGAGGTAGGAAATCCCAAAAGCCAACAAAGGGGTTTCTTAGGCTGTAACCAGACATGTCAGTCTGCCTGCAGCTGAACCAGATTATGAGGTTACTGCTCCCTTCAGCTGCACTCCTGCTCACTCCCCTACCACAAATGGCATCTGCTTAAAATGGAATGGATTTAAAGAATAATTGCTTGAGGTAAACTGGGTTAGAAAGAATGGTACACAAGCATGCCAGCCAGTCTCAGACTGCAGCCTCTGCAAGGAAGACAGCAAAGAGAAAGACTGGGGGCAGCAAACTCACTGGACTCAGCTGCAAGCCGCACAGCACATCTGACCTTACCTCTGAACCTCTGGGAATAGCAAAGAAATTGTTCTGGTCTTGTTTTAGAGTGTAAGTCACCTTCCCAGTCCCAACAGGAAAGGAGAACTGCTGTAACATCACCCATGTCACAGGGACTGCACTGCCTTATCTATACTCGCAAATGTTACCGTTTAATTCTATGTGGAGGCATTAGAAAATACCCATGTGCTTCAAAATCAGCATAACCCAAGCCATGATTTCAGGGCTATTAGTCAAATGCAGCATTTTACATTTTTCTTCAGTTAACTTTTCCATCAGCGATGCGAGATGCAGTAACTTGCCACTAGACAGCACCAATGCTCTGACCAGACCCATACTCTCAAGGCAGCAGGGTGTTTACAGGCTACAAGCACTGCAGGGCAGAGAAATCCTCTCAGGGAAGGCCTGTGCACATATTCAGAGAAGTTCCTTTCAGAGTTTGCAATTTTTACATGTGCTTAAAAGGTAATTGTTGGGTTATTGGTTTTAGGTTTCCTCTTCCCCTCTCTCCCCCCACCGACAGCAAAAGAACATTTTCAAACAGGAAAAATATAATCTCATTTAAATTGTTTAGATCTGGCTTTCACACAGCCTAATAAAGATTAAAACTTCAGGGGATTTTGAAATCTGATTGAAAGGGGCAGGGTAAAAAGCATACAGCTTCTCAGCTTGAGCCCTGTGCTTCAGTCCCAGGTTTCATACTTGCTCGGTCCAGGAGACAAATTAGCTTGTTTCCACTTCTTCGCGACTAAATCCCAATTCTGAAAATACGCATGCTTTCATAAAAGCTTGACATAAGCTGCTTTATCAAGTATGAAGGTGAGCAAGGGTTTGCTCAATCTGGTCTTCAAGACCTGTAATCCCAAAGCAGGCTATTTATGTCAATGCTACATATACATGTGTGAGTTACATATCCAAGTCTAACAGAAGTAAAATCCACACATGCCATAAGGTTAGAGCCATTGTTAAACACAAAGTTAAGATGTTACATGAAAGTCAAAACAACGTAAAAATCTTATCATAAAATGGAATCACAGAATGGTTTGGGTTGGAAAGGGACCTTAAATATAATCTAATTCTAACCCCCCTGCCATGGGCAGGGACACCTTCCACTAGACCAGGTTGCTCAAAGCCCCGTCCAAACTGGCCTTGAACACTTCCAGGCCATCCACAAGCTCTCTGGGCAACCTGTTCCACCACTCTCACAGCAGAGAATTGCTTCCTTACATCTAATCTAAATCTGCCCTCTTACAATTTAAAACTGTTACCCCTTGTCCTACCACTACACCCCCAAGAGTCCCTCCCCATCTTTTCTGTCGCCCCCTTTAAGTACTGGAAGGCCACTGAAAGGTCTCCCCAGAGCCTTCTCTTCTCCAGGCTGAACAACCCCAACTCTCAGCCTGTCCTCATAAGGGAGGTGCTCCAGTCCCCTGATCGTCTCCATATCCCTGCTCTGGACCTGCTCAAGCAGGTCTATGGCCTTCTCATGTTCGGGGCCCCAGAGCTGGACACAGCACTGCAGGGGGGTTCTCACCAGAGCAGAGCAGAGGGGGATAATCCTCTCCCTTGACCTGCTGGCCACACTTCTCTTGATGCAGCCCTGGATACAGGTGGCTTTCTGGGCTGCAAGCACATATTGCTGAGTCATGTTGAGCTTCTCATCAACCAATACACCACATCCTTCTCCGCAGGGTTGCTCTCAATCAATTCATCCATCGCCCAGCCTGTATTTGTGCATGGGATCACCCTGACCCATGTGCAGGACCTCACACTTAGCCTTCATGAGGTTTGCACGGTCCCACCTCTCCAGCCTGTCCAGGTCCCTCTGGATGGCACATCTCTTCGCTCCAGCCTGTCGACTGCACCACACAGTTGGGTGTCATCAGCAAACTTGCTGAGGATGCGCTCAATCCCACTGTCCATGTCACCAACAGAGATGTTAAACAGCGCCGGTACCAACACCAACCCCTGAGGAACACCACTTAAAGTAACATCCGAGCTCTACAGAAGTTAAGAGTGTCACCAGCTTTAGTGGAGCCATGATTTCAACCACAGTGCCCACAAAACTACAGACAAACCATAGAAACTATTATTTAAGTAAGCATCATCAAAAATATGTCAGTACAATTGATACTGTAGTATCGAATACCACAATCAAGACTTTCAATAGAAACAGTGATATGGGGGTTTAGTTGCAACTTTAGTTGCCAATATTTTAGAAAAATTGTTTTACCACAACAGTCAGCACCCACTTTAAGAAAAAGATGCCCATTTACAGGTGTTTCACCCTAATTGTCAAAAACAGGTCACATTCAAAAATCTTAATAGGAATAATCTAAAATATTATGGTACAGAATTATGTTTACTAACACTGCAGCAGAATAAAAGTTTAGAAATTATTTATATAATACAGATTGACATGCAGTAAGACTTTAAATGGCATATATAATTAGCTCTCTGACATTAACTAGTGTATCAATCAGGAAAAACCTCATGAACAAAGTTGTCACCTTTCCCAGACAAACCCACTGGAAAGCAATCAGCCACTATGGCTCTGACACTTTTTTCAATGGAAGTTGGCAAGACAAACAAGAAGATTCAGGAAGAAACATATGGTCTGTACCAGATTCATCTTTACCCCTGGACTGACAGTGACAAGGGTCACCAAGCTAAGATGTTCCCTGACATGTCCTTTCACTGTGGCCACATAAGGCCCAAACTGGGACATCTCCTTTCACAAGGCACGGAGTGGCTAATCCCACTGTCAAAGGAGGAGAGGAGCACACCCTGGAGGAAGCTCTGCTAGAAGGCTCTAATAGCTCTTCAAGCCACAGAATCATGGCTGAGCCATGCTGCAAAACTGTGGTCAGGCTCTCTGCCCAGCCAACGGAGAAGAGAAAATGGCCCATATTCTCTCAAGTATTTGAGGCTCCTCCATCTGAAATTATGTTAAATGCTGTTATTATGTCACTATACTAACTGAGACTGCTCTTTGTTCACTTGGATTACAAAAGTGGATCTATAATTTGAGGGAAATCAAACATTTTTAAAATGATTCAGCTATAGGTTCACTGAGGAAAGTTGTTCCAGAACAGCAGATAAAAACATGAATTTCATAAGCCTCCTATTAGGTGGTTTAGTTGAGAAAGCATATGGAAACTGAACAAAAGAGAAGTTTGCAATCTGACCCCCCAAATAATAAAAGGCAAGAAATTCAAAATTAAGACTTCCAAAGCTTTAATCACAGAGCTGTTCTGGTGTACTAGGGGAGTCCAGGGCAGAAGGGACAACACCATAGCCAAGAGGGCTGAGTGCTGAAATCTCTCACCTTTGTTGCTCATTTTGGGTTAAACATTTTTAGCAGAGCCATTTTGTATTCAATATAATAAAGGCTACTACAGTTTGCCAGCCTGTAGCTAATTCCAAGGGGAATGGGAGTGGACAACAAGTCTGAACAAAGCCATAATTATAAGGATATCATTTCCCACAACTCCTTTTAGCCAACACAGAAAACATTAAAAGTATATTTGTATCTATTGCCTCAAAAACGCACTTTCTATACAGTAAATAAGCTGCAAAGGGACAACTATGAGACAATATCTGAACACCAGAATCAACATCTATATTTTAGCCATCCATACTACATCAG